TTCGAAACTACAAGCCGTTCGCATTCTACGTACGGAAAGTCATGTTTTCGCCTACGCCTTCATGAAGATATCACATAAGGTTACTACAATTTTGCAATGAATGTGGACTGTGTTGAATGCTTCCTTAACAGCATTTTTTATTGGACATATGTGATTCTGAATGTATGAACAGATCACGATCATAAAAATCTCATTATGACATACTTTTAAACTGAAGGTGACCTTCATAGGAAGGCTACCTAGAAGGCCTTCGAGGATAATATTTAATCGATGCGCTATCTGATAACCAATGAAAACAGGAACAAAAATATGTTTCCCCTCGTTTCCAATAAAATACGTCTGGATAACGGTATTGAGAAGAACCCCACTTAATGGACGGCAGATTGTGGATCACGTCATATGGGCTTTTACCTGGTATCCATTCGCAGACATTACACTGCTGGTAACAATCATTTGCCATGAATTCAAAGTATCCCTCAAAGTCCTTTATTTTTGAAATTCACTTTGTGTTTATTTTTAATTACCGCACTCATTTCCGTTGTCGTACGAAAATGAATAATGAGTCTTTCGGGAGACATCCGAACAATTTCCGTGTTTTCCTGCATTTTGTCAGCTAACTGTCTAGTGCGCTGCTCCACCTGTAAAACTCCCCTTATCACCAATCACGTACGACAGGATCCACAGTCTACCGACAGTCAAGTGGGATCATTCTCCATACCGTTGCCCACATCTGAAGTTAGAAGGGCATCGAAAATCGATGGAATCAATCAAACCACATAAAAAACCGTGGTTCATCGAGTGCGGCTCAGTCAGACGGCTAGAAGTCAGTGCAGTCGGAAGACCACCTACTGGAGTTACTGAAATACTTTGGGATTATGCGTCACGGTAATTAGAATAGCAACCACACTTTAGTTCCCCTCCATAATCGAAAACACACTTCGGATAAAATTATCTAGGATCGGCCACTGACGGTCAGGTCAGACAATACATACAGGGTAGACGGCGAACACAAAATATTATGCAGCAGGAGATGTAGACAGGAAGAACGGATAACTTCAGGACTTTGAAGTCAAAGTAATGAGATTGACGTTTCCGCCCAAAGCAGCCTCCTGCACTCACAAAGTGGACGTTGGCGGCAATGAAAGTGAACTCATACCGTTTTCTGCCGCAATGTCAATGTACACGCGCTCCCACATCAGACACCTGGAGGTTGCTACGCGATCGACGTACATTATCCAAAAACTAGTAAAAAATGATTTATTATAGGCTGACCGACATCTTGAGCGGTCACCGTGCCCGTCACGCCCTCCGTGGAAACAGTTAATCGCAGCCAGCAGGACGACACCGTAAGTGGATTTGGAAATATGCCCGTCCCGAAGAATGACATCGTGAAAAAGATGCAAAAGGGGATTTAAGACGAAAGCCATCTTATTCAGGAAGTAATTACTTAGGGTTCGCGAGGGCAGCGAACCCAACAGGCGTCTGAGGAAATCGCGAGGACTGCGAACTCAGTCCACCGGTAATTGGTTAATATGCATGTCTAATTTAAAGCGCATGATAGCCGATGTGGATGCGCCGGGTCGCTCAACACAGCTATTAACCGTTATGCAGGATTCACAGGTTGATAACATTATTAGCAACTTAGGGTAGAAGGTTACTTGATAACCAATTTCCACTAACACTGGCACGGATGAGGAGTAACACTTGATGCCTTTACCGGTAATAGTTGACTACATAGAGGCCACATTAAGAAGGAACCATTTCAGTCTGGCTCTCAGTCCGCCAGTCGGCCACTCCACTCAAACACACACACACACACACATGACAGTTCGACCATCGATTTCGATTATGTCCACCGTATGCCCAACATCAGGTGAGAGCAGGGACGGTGACTTGCGCAGGGGTTTATAGTGCCGGTAGACTTGCGCTGCATCTACCTACACTCTCTCCTCCTCCCCCGCCTGAGCCCGGTGTCAAGACAGAGTCAAGAAAACCGGAGACGAGGGAGGCCGCAGGTGGATGGCTCGGACGGATCCTCACCTTGGCGTTCCATTACACCCCCTGGTCCGCACAACAAATAACCAGGATTTCAACCAACAGAAGAGAGATTTGGAGGCTGGCACGACCGAAGCCGCACCTAGGCGTGCCGCCAACGCCTGGCTCGGATCCCACGCTGTGGTGGGAATGCCATAAAGGCCACATTAAAAAGGAGCCATTGCAGCCTGACTCTCAGACCGCCTCCAGTCAAGGAGGAGGATGTCCAAGGTACCCCGTCAGTTGGCAACCTTCCAAGCCACGGCTTTTAGCGCACCGTGATAGCTTCAAGCGCGTCAGATTGTTTATAGTGAGGAGAAAGTGTGCTGAGTCGTCGACCTCACTCTCCCTTCCCATTCCCACTCTCCAGCCGCCGTCCGAGCCGGTCAGCAAACTGGAGTGGGGAATGGGCGCGGTGGCTGGCACTGTCGACTGACCATGCCTGCGCGCGCCACAGTACGACCTGGCCCCCCATACACACACAAAAATCAGGATTTCACACAACGGGGGTTGAACGGCGTGTCCCTCACTTGCGTGAGGGTGCCGTGGAAGGTGCTGCTTTAGCTCGTCCCCAGACCTCCAGTCCACCACTCCACACAATACACACACACACACAACGCGACGAACTGCGTGAACCGAGAGCGGGCGTCAATCAGCAACCTTCCGATCCTCGACAACTGACGTGTCGGGATAGTCTCGGACTCAAGTCACCCGTGGAGCCGAAGCCGCATGGGGACCGAGACGAGCGGTACACTTCTCACTTGCGTGGAAGGCGGCAGTCGTCTACGCGACGTCTCCGTAGAAGAGTCGTTTGGGTAGTCGCTCGTCGTCCATGCGCACCAGGTGGCCGCTCCAGCGCAGCTGCATTTGTCTCAGAATGGCGTAGATGCTGAGGATTCCCGTCCGTTCCAGCATATCAGTGTCGTGAATTCGATCCTGCCAGTTCAGCCTCAGGATGCGACGAAGACAACTGAGGTGGAAGTGGTTCAGACGGCGTGCCTGCCTCGTGTACACCGTCCAAGTCTCTGCTCCATACAGTAGCGTCGGCAGGATGACGGCCTTGTACATCTTCAGCTTCGTGCTCAGTTGAAGACCATGACGGTTCCAAACTGTGCTTTTGAGGCGACCGAAGGCTTGGCTGGCCTTCGAGATCCTGTTGGCGACTTCGTCGTCGATCTTGGTGTTGCGGGAGAGGGTACTGCCCAGGTACGGGAAGTTCTCCACCACTTGTAATTGGGTTCCGTTCACGTTGATTTGCGGCGCGTTGGCGGGTGTGACTGAGTGGGGTGGCGGTTGATGCATCACCACTGTGTTCTGCGTGTTGATGACCAGCCCAAAGTTCTCGCAGGCGGCGGAGAATAGGTCCATGCTCCGTTGCATCTCCTCTTCCGAGGTGGTGTTCAGGGCGCAGTCGTCGGCGAAGAGGAGTTCGTGAAGGGTGGTTGTGGATACGCGCGATTGGAAGTTCATGCGCCGTTGATTCAGGAGATGACCGTCCGTCCTGTAGGCGATGCGGATCCCGGGGCGTTCGTCGCGGTAGGCGTCCATCAGCATGGCAGAGAACATGAGACTGAAGAGGGTAGGCGCCAGCACACAGCCCTGCTTCACTCCGTTGGTCACTGCGAATGCCTCTGAGACAGCTCCGTTGTCCGTGACTCGCGCCATCATACCGTCGTGCAGCTGACGCACCATCTGAGTGAATCGCTCCGGACAGCCGAATTTCCGCATGATCTTCCACATTCCTTCACGATTCACCGTGTCGAAGGCTTTCGTCAGGTCCACGAAGGTAGAGTTCAGATGGGTCCGCATCTCCTGGCACTTCTCCTGAAGTTGACGGGCGGCGAAGATCATGTCCGTGGTCCCACGGTGAGGACGGAAGCAGCATTGGCTTTCCGGCAGAAGGCCCTGTTCCAGATGGTTGTTGAGGCTATTGAGCAGGATGCGAGCGAAGCTCTTCCCGGCGATGTTCAGTAGGGAGATGCCGCGGTGATTGTCGCAGACTTGGCGATTCCCTTTTCGCTTGTATAAGTGCACGATTGTTGTGTCCTTGAAATCTTGCGGGACTTCACCTTGACGCCACATCTCCTGGAAGAGCGCAGTCAGGTGATCCATCAGTTGGGGACCTCCGTGCTTGTAGACCTCAGCAGGGATTGCGTCCGATCCGGGTGCTTTCCCGCTGGAGAGCTGCTGCACGGCCCTGATGGTCTCCTGGAGAGATGGCGGGAGGTCCAGGTCCACGTTGGTCTCCACTTGCGGCAAACGCTCGATGGCGGCGTCGGAGATGGCAGAGGGGCGGTTGAGGACGCCTCGAAAGTGCTCGGCCCATCGCTGTAGGATTTGCGTCTTCTCAGTCAGGAGAGTGCTGCCGTCGGCGCTGAGGAGAGGAGCAGTGCCCTTCGTCGGCGGACCGTAGACAGCTTTGATCGCGGAGAAGAAGTTCTTCCATTCGTTGCGGTCAGCGTAGCCTTGGATCTCCTCAACTTTGCGAGCAGTCCAGGCGTCCTGCATCTCGCGCAGACGTTGCTGAAGTTGGCGGCGACTACGGTAGAAGGCAGCTTTGTTTTCCTCTGTGGGGTGATCTACGTAGGCTTTGTGGAGGCGGTTCTTCTCAGCAAGCAGATTTCTGATGGCGGCGTCGTTGTCGTCGAACCAGTCCTGGTGTTGACGGGGAGCGCGACCGAGGACGTCGAGCGCCGTCGACTGGACCGTGTCTCGCAGTTGACACCAGCGTTTCTCCACGGAGGCGTTCCCGGCAGCGGCGGCATCGGCGATGGGGAGGTTGTCTAGCCGTTGAGCTAGCTCATTGCCGAAATGAAGATGGTGAGCGGGCAAAGACAACAAGGCAACATTCAGCTTACCTGGGGGTCGCTTACCTTGTGGTCTCCTGCGAGGCTGTAGGCGAATACGCATCTTCGAGATGACGAGGCGATGGTCGGTCCACCCGTCAGCACCCGCGATCGCCTTCGTCACCAGCACGTCCCGCTGATCTCGCCTCCGGACGAGGACATAGTCCAGCAGGTGCCACTGACGCGACCGAGGATGCCTCCAGGGGCCTTCTCTCGCTCCGGCAGACAGAAAAACGTGTTCGTCAGGATAAGGTGGTGTTCTGCGCAGGTGCGAAGCAGCAGGCCGTTGTCGTTGGAGCCGCGGAGACCGTGGGGACCCAGCACTCCCCTCCAGGCAGTATGGTCTGTGCCGACGCGGGCGTTGAAGTCACCAAGGACAATTAACTTGTCCGGCTTCGGCACAGTCGCCAAGAGTGCGTGCAGGTCCTCGTAGCATTTGTCTCTTGCGGCGGCGTCGGGGCTGGTCATCGGCGGAGCGTAGGCGCTGATGATGGTGACGAATTTGCCTCCACCCCGGAGAGGCAGATGGAGGCTCATCAGGCGATCGTTGATGCCCTGCGGCAGACAGGGCAGTCGTCCCACGATGTCGTTCCGGATGGCGAAGGCGACACCCGCGTCACGTCGCTCTGCCTTGGGTCGACCACTCCAGAAGAAGGTGTAACCGGCACCCACCTCCTCCAGTTGGCCTTGTTCGGAGAATCGGGTCTCGCTGAGTGCGGCGATGTCCACCTTTTAGCGCGCCAGTTCTCGTGCCACTAGCGCCGTCCTCCGTTCCGGTCGGTTGCTCCTCGGATTGTCTAAAAGGGAACGAAAATTCCAGGCTGCCAGAGTGAGCGGGCTCACCCTGCCAGTCTGGCGACTGCGGCGGCGAAAAGTAGGAGTAGGAGAAGAAGAAGAATAGGCTGGAAGAGGAAGAGAGTGGTTGTTGTTGTTGTTTCGATTTTGGCTGTTTCGACCGTGTTTTTTTGTCTGCGGCCACGGCCAGCCTACAGACAGCGTGGTTCCCAGCGATATTTAGGCACCTTTTCTAGCCCCCTCCCCCTCGCGGGGACAGGCAACGCATCCCTTAACAGGGCTGCCCGGTTATCCCAGACGGCTGCCGGACTCCACTATGGGCCACGACTTTTTGTTAGTGAGAGAACGACCTGAATTAGCCTGGGACCTTGGTGGTGATGGTGATGTGATGAAGTGAAGTAGGCGAGAGCATACACACAACCTAACGCTATGGGACTTACAGCTAGCTAGAGTGGGCAAACAGACACAGTCATCAGTCAGAGACAGAGGGGAGAGGGCACCATTCAAGTGTCAAGCTACGTAACACCTAGCTATTAGCAGAGAGAGGCATAGACTGACAGACAGACAGTCGCAGCAGACAGCGAGGGTTTCGTCTAGCTATTAACAGACAGACTAGCATACAGAGGGCAGGCAGCAAGAGCAGCATATGACACGGAACTACAACAGACAAAAGGAAGAAACAGAGCAAATGCACTTACCTGAGGAAGAACTTACCTGGTGGCCTCCTGCGATGGTCCAGGGAGAGCCTCGTCTCGACGATGTCGACGCGAAGAACCACCCGGCCAGCGCAGACCACATTACCGCGCGTGCAGGTGCACGCACGGATACCCTCACCTGGTTTAGCCCGCCGGTCGAGACGGTTGCCTGGGGTGTGGCCGCTGAGCAGAGCCCAGCTACGCGGAGCCACAGGTGAGAGTTGAGTGCCAACAAATGGACGCTAGGCGTAGTCTCACCTGCAAGCAAGTGAGCGACCACTACGACCATCGCGTGGACCCACCGCTGACACCCCTACACCCCAGAGGTCACACACACACACACGACAGTTCGACCATCGATTTCGATGATGTCCACGGTGTGCCCCACAGAGCATTGTGGGAGCAGGGACGGTGACTTGCGCAGGGGTTTATAGTGCCGGTAGACTTGCGCTGCATCTACCTACACTCTCCTCCTCCCCCGCCTGAGCCCGGTGTCAAGACCAAGTCAAGAAGACCGGAGACGGGTGAGGCCGCAGGTGGATGGCTCGGACGGATCCTCGCCTTGGCGCTCCACTCCGCACCCCCTGGTCTACACACAAATGACCAGGATTTTGACCACAAAACAATGGGGTGATGGCAGTGGTCCAGTTGTACGACGATTGCCGACAACAGGGTCTGCCAGCGCACTCCGCAAGTGTTGGCATTTGTTATTGCGCACAGATAACGCCTGCCAGAGTCCGATGTGGCCCCCGTGTTGGTCCAACGCCTCTAACACGTGGCCCGTTTTGAGGGCACGCACACGCACACGCACACACACGCACGCACGCACACACACACACACACACACACAGGGCTGACTGTGAGGTCCGACTTATACCGTCAGTTGGCAACCTTCAAAGCCGCAGCTTTAAACGCACTGTGATAGGTTTAAGCGCGTCAGATTGTTTATGGCGGGAAAGTGCGCTGAGACGTCGACTTCACTCTCTGTTTCCATTCACAAACATCAGTCCACTGTCCACGTTGGTCAGATGCGGGAAATGAGCGCGGTTGCCGACAGAGCCGGAGATCAGAAGAAGAAGAAGAAGAAGAAGAAGAAGAAGAAGAAGAAGAAGAAGAAGAAGAAGAAGAAGCGATCGCTGGAACAAGGGCTTTATTCGCCTGCCGTTTCGGATTCTCACTTGAATCCATCATCAGAGACAGTGGCAGTAAGGGTGACTCGGGCACAGGAAGTTGCAATATTTATAGGATGCAGTCGCTATACTACCGCATACCTAAAGCTATTAACCGCGCTCCCCTTCATCAAAGATTGTTGCCCGCGGGCGCGCTGATGGCTTGATGGCCGGCATGCAAGTTGTTAATTGCCGAAATGTCATCAACCGTGTTGGATGCTGGCGTGATGATTTCTCGGCCATCTGGCTCACCGGCTTGCGCGCTCCCCGAGTGGTCAATTATCTTGGCCAGCCTATGCCTCAGCACGGAATATGGAGTGGGGATGTGGTTGCACTTGTTGATAGACTGAGGTCCGTGAACCATGACTCAAGCCACTCACGGCTCACGCGATTATCCCCTCTCGCGAGAATTTCAGCTTCATCGAACTTGAATGTGTGGCCGGGTCGATGAGGCCGAAAATCTCGCGAGAGGGGATAATCGATTGTCAGAGCCGGCAGAGGTTGGAACAGGGGGCCTATGCGTGCCAAACAAGACTCGGCCCCCACACAATGCACGAGCACTTCTCACAAGAGAGATGAACTGCTGGGATCTCACATGCAGCCAAGGGGCCAAATGGAGGAACTAAAAAACACACTTCCCACTTGCGTGAGAGATGCTTTAATCGTGCCTGCGGTGTGTGATGCCGAATGCGTTCATGCGTGCTGTATTTGTTAATGGGGGAATATGTGCTAATGAGGCTCATTTTGCAATGGTTTACCACAGGTGTTAATGGAGGCGCATGTGACCCAATAGGCGTATGCGACAACTTAATTTTCGAGGGCAGTGCAGACAGCTGAGGCCATGACGACAAGTGTATTCTCGTGCTCCTGGTAATGTTTTGACAGTCTCAGTACGAGGCACTCGCAAGTGACCGATCAGTCCGTTGCGTGATGCCCGTGTGCAGAGACAGTGTAGGCAGGGTAGGTTGGAAACTCCGGAGTCATTTGTGGTGGTGATGACGATAGTGCTGGCCGAAATGGTAGGTGGACCTTTGGTAACACAGGAGATGGAAGAGAAGTCGGGTTGTAGGTGTGCTTGACATGTCCATATTGCGGTGAATTCCGCATGCGGTGATGGAATGTGCGCTGGTGCTCCGGACAGTGAAGACGGGTGCGACGAATGCATTTAGGAGTTCCTAGCACTGGTTCGCTGGCCACAGTGCAATGGATTAGCAAGTGACAGAACGAGCCAGTGTGTAAGGGAAATGCGTGATTGCAATGAGAACTGGTTGGGATTGAGTGCACCTTGCTGGTGATAGGGACGGTGGTGATAAGGGTAATGGTTAACGGTCGGCCGGGAGCGTAAGAGGTCTAGTCGTCGTCGTGAACCCCGCGCGGGTTGGTGCAGGGATAACCATGAGGGGTGTTTTTGAATCCAGCGGATGGGACTGTCAAGATGTTTTTGAACTGGATCCGGAGATGTCCAGCGGGGCTGATCCGTGCGGACAATGTTCTTTGACAGCCTGCATTGGGTTGAGCGTTGGTGTTGTGGATCGGAGGCACATGACACTGACGATCTATATTTTGGCTTTAGCAGTTGCGATTTGGCTGACTCCGTAGATTCCGAAATGTTAAACAGCAGGTTTCCCATGTCGTTGTCACAAAGTTGTCGGTTCCCTTTCCATTTGTAGAGGTGGACGACTAACGCGTCCTAGGAATCGTAGGAAACTTGTCCTTGGCGCCTCATCTCACGAAATACCGTTGTAAGTTTGTCCATCAGCGGTGAGACTGCCGTGGTTGGCGTCCCATCTCAGCACTTTCCCGCTAGGAAAATGTTGCAAGTCATTGATATTTTCTGGCAGGGAAGTCGTCAGATCCATATCATTTTCCGTTTCCACAAACGGGAGTCGTTTGATGGCGCCGTCGGATATTATGAACGATCGATCTGGCACCGTCAGCAGAAGACGTCGCTGTGCGTAGGCTTGCAGGGGAAAGAGGCCGTTATGACTACAGCCCCCATAGAAGTCACCAAGAATAACTTGCTTTTCCGACCTCGGCAAAGCAGACAGGAGGGCGTTCAGGCCTTTGTAGAACATATTCGCCACCTTGTCGGAAATGGCCGTTGGCGGAGCGTAGGCGCTGACGGCGGTGGCGAATTCGACTACCCAAAGAGGCAGACGTGGGGTCGTGAGTGCATTGCTGACGCTCTAGGGCGGACAAGGCAGTTATCGTTCCGGATGGCAAAGGCGACGCTTTCGTCGCGTCGTTCTGACTTTGAGCGACAGCTCCCGAGGAAGATGTCGTTGATACCCACCTCCTCTACTACACCTTGTTCGGAGAATCAGATCTTCCTGAGAAGCAACGACGTCTATCTTTTCATGAGCCAGTTCTCGAACGCCTAATCCCACTTTCCTTCCCGGCCGGGTGCTCCTCGGATTGTCCAAAATAAAGCGAACATTCCAGGCTGCCAGAGTGGGCGGGATTTCTCATACAGCCTGTCGGTTTGGACGCATTGAAGAGGACGAAGATTTCTGTTGTTCATATGGGTGTTTCGGCCATGGATTGTATATCTTTGAACCATTACCAGCTTAAAGATGGCGTGATCCCAGCGTTTGCTTCGCCACCTATTCTTGCCATCTCCCCACGGGGGGGTGAGCAATGCTATCCTTAAACAGGGCTGCCAACACATCTCAGGCGGCTGCTGAAGTCCACTTTGTGTCACAAACTGATTTAATGGGAGAACAACCCCAGTTAGCCTGGACCACATCTGGGATCGCGTGCTGCTCTCTCCGTATAACTTTTTGGATGGAAGGGAGTCAGAATAACCAGGAGGAGAAACACACACACACACACAAAACCGCATATACCAATCTATTTTAGCCGGTCGGTCAAGATGGTTGCCGGATTGCGTTTGCTAATTAGAGCCTAGCTCAAAAGAGCCACAGATGAAGGTTGTTTTCCAGCAAAGGGCCGTCTTGAGCATTCGCCACTTGCGCGAGGCACTTATTGGGATATACCGTGCCTGCACATTTTACGTCTGTGGTAGCCATTTGTCGTATTTTGTGTTTGTACACTACTTTTGTAGTCATTCTACTTGTTAAGCATTTCCTAAACTCGCATTTATCCACTTATGTTTAAGTTGGTGCTTATGTAAAGGTTACGTAAGAACTCCAACTGGTGTGAGAATATGTAGGTCTATAACCTACTCAAATAGATCGAGTAGGTATTATTTCTAGGTAAAGGAGGTTTTGGGTGCCATCTCCAATTAGTTACCGCTGTGAGTTTTGGTTTCACTAACTGACTTTTCAACTATTGCCCCATTGGCGCTAACAGCCAGGTCCGTTCTGGCGCGACCGTTTAGCTTGGTTGTCCTCGACTTGGTTTTAGCATGGGATCTCGTTGTCGATTAACTAGGCCTGCTAAAGCCCCCGGCAATCCCGGCGGCCTTGCAAAAAATGCCAGGAAGGGTAAATATTATAAAGTCATTTCCCAAACCCTGAACTTTACTCTAACCCTAAAACTAACTCCAAGTCTAACCTTAACCCTAAATTTAACCTTAACACTAACCTTACACTTCCTGAGTTCATATTCCACTTTCTTGCCATGCGGAAATTTAGGGAGTCAGGGTTCAGTCCAGGAGGTCATTCATCTTTAAGTTTTAGCATATCCGATTAATTATACTGCAAATTTTTTGCAGTACTGTTGGCGTGGATACTCTTCTTGCAAAAAAGAATTCATAGAAACGATCGTACGAAGAAACCGCTTCCTGTTATTTGTTTTCGAAGGACTCGGATGGATTGGACTATCTGGTGAAATCCCAAACGTTGATTCCGTTATACTCCTTGCCTACCACTGTACACAATTCCTCCAAAACCACAAGGAGAGCGAACACCCTGGAGACAACGATGACATATACTAGACGAAGTATAGCAAAATGCAGAAGTATGGAATGGACTAATAACAAACCTCAACGAGCGAAAAAATCTACCCATTGTAATAAAAAAGAACTTGTGCCACAAAATCTGCGTGGATACTGCTCGAGTGTGATCAGATATCCTTAAATGATCGCGTTTCCTAAATAGTTAATTGGTTGGAGGGCTTGCCCACAGTCGACCTGATGTTGACGCAGTAGAGTTTGCCCAGGCCTACACGATTATGAAATCGACTTTCCCATACCGCAAGACCGAGGAAAACAAACAGGGAGGCAAATTCAAATAGGTTAACTGAAAAGAAAACTTCAATTTCCTATTTAAAATTTAAGGTCGCTCATTCCAGCCATCGGCTGTCCTTCCTATTGTGCAGAGCTGTTTTTTGTCCTGCCCATCGATCAACGGCGAGTAGTGCGTGGATTAGCTAACGAGTTTTTATTGCGACGTTAGTGACAGATCCAAAAATTCAGAGATTTTGGCAGATTTTGAATAATCCACACTAATCCAACTGTGAGCCTGGTAGTCATCTGGTGGATTCTAGGTGAATTACTTAGGGACTCCTGCCTGGGCAGTCAACTTACTGTATCAGATTTGGTGGATTCCGGACGTTGCAGTAGGTTGGGCGGGTAATCTTAACCCAAATGTGATTAAACTTGCGTCGTCCGGCGGGCCTCCGTAGCTCAGGCGGTTAAAGCGTTGGCTGAACTAAAGCCCTCAACTTACTATCGTGAGTTCGAATCCCACCGAGGAGCCGAATTTTCCACAGTTGGCTCAATATTAAAGATCCAAAAATCGCAACTTAAATATATCGCAATGTTTTGTATGCTCACGCCAAATGCAGACTTGATCCGTGCAGGGGTAAGCCAAAGCAGACATGCCCACTGTCACTTTGATATGTGGAATACCTCACCGTCAGCCGCAACGCCTGTTCTGGCGGTCTGCCAATTCCCTCCAACCCATTGTACATTCATTTTCTAAACTTTGCTCTATCTATTGGAGTCCAACTTCCTATACAGGTCTGTTTCTAAAGGTCTTAGTGGCTACGGTCTGCCTATGACTCAGGGTGTCGCGGGAGGTTCGAAAGGAGGTTGCCAGGTTCTCGTCAGTTGCAAGGCTAACACGACATCATGGGACCGTCAACGGGTCATCGATCGCGTACCCCTCTATGCCTTCACACACGCTGCCTCCGCAGGTGCGCCGATGTTCTGCGTCTTTCTCGTCGCCGAGCGCCGATCCAAATTCCAACAGGGCTAGGCGAACCGCCAAGTTTACGAGCGATTATGATGTGCAGCTGCTGTCCACAGGACACGCGCAAACGAATGAAGGGATCTGGGCAGATTTATTGCAAAATCATACCGTATCGAATGTGATCTACAGTAGGTGGGCTAACTCATGAAATGTAAACTGAAATTCCGAAATGCGTTTTCGTTTCGAAAAGATTAACTAACAAGGGTTGTAAAACTAACCATCGTGCAGCGTAATTCTATAATAATTCAGTTGCCTCAGGATGCCTGCTTTCGAATGAACTTCTTTCCGACTGCACGCAAAAACTATACTTTGTAAAAAATGACAACTTAAGTAGCATGCATTTTGTTAATTGATTTCCGATACTCTTAAAAATTCAATTATATTTCATGGAAAGCATGCATTAAATAGTGATTCTCTTCCTCATTCGATAGAAAATAACGTCTTCTTCCAATTTTTTTACGGGGAATCGGAAGTTTTTTTAAAACCGAACTATACCCTTCTTCCGAGCGCGCATAAGATCCCTGCCCTTATAACACACGTACTGCCAGGAGCTAAAAGATCATGGCCTTCGAGTTGGTGAAACATCGATACACCCAGCCCCGAGCGTAGTCAATAGGCTCCTCGCTAAAGTTTGGGAGGGATGGAGACTTCTAACGAGTAAAGAATACTTATTTCACCTAGCAACTCCAACACAGCAGCGTGGGGACATTTACATTTACATGAAACGAAAACTTACATGCCTGTCGATGGACCTTCTACGCCTTTCCGAGGAAGACGGTAGCTGCTGTCTTGGAGTTGCTAGGTGAAATAAGTATTCTTTACTCGTTAGAAGCCTCCATCCCTACCAAGCTTTAGCGAGGAGCGTACTGACTACGCTCGGGGCTGGGTGTATATATGTTTCACCAACTCGAAGGCCATGATCTTTTAGCTTCTGGCAGTACGTGTGTAATAAGGGCAGGGGTCTTATGCGCGCTCGGAAGAAGGGTATAGTTCGGTTTTAAAAAACTCTTCCGATTTCCAGTAAAAACAGTTAAACAATTGTTGGACAAAAATCAGATTGATGTCCCTGCCAGCACATGGCCCCTTCATAGGCGGGGCTGGAAGGGGCTGGGTGGGGCTACAGCCCCCTCTGGATTGAAGCATTTTGAAGCGTATTTGCATCAAAAGATATGTTTCAAAAGCACCACTCATTGTACCTTCTTTGGCATTAAAAGTAGCTTATTTATCAAAATTGGCTTATAAATCATGGAGAAAGCATCCGTTTACGCCCACTGAATGTAGCTGCGGATCAGCACAATATAGTGAGGTTTTGTTTAAGTCCCTCAATGCGTAAACTCTCATTTGTCCACCGGATTAGAATCTGTGTGTGTTATTTATTCGTATATTTTACAATCGATTGCAGGTAATATCGTGAGTCAGCCAATGCTGTTTTCATGCTCTTGATAGCTGTCTTAGTTCATTTATGTATACTATGCTAATTGTTTAGGTATCTACTCACCAGCTAGTTCAAGTAGTCGAGTTGTATGTCTATGTATGTATATTTGGCCTTGGTGTTCGTAGTCCACTTATACAAATTATTTATCGTTTTTTACTGAATATCCTAAGCAATTATGCAGCGTAATTACTCTGGCTATCACTGAAGCACCAGCCGTCGAAGCGGGGACTTTTGGAACGCACAACTGAATGGCATAACATATGTTGAAGTCCATGTATATACTGGCACTGACATTTATTATGATTGTACATATTTTCCAATTCCTTTTTCGTTTATAAAATAAATAACTCACTCACATGAATTTGCGTCGCGTGTATTTGATATTGGCTGCTGATTAGTGGGCACGTGTACGGCGGGGTCACTGTGAGTACTATGTAATACCGTAGTACTCTACGTACGCAGGGTGGGTTTCGACGTGTAACATGTGGGAACAGTGAGGCACTGCGCCTCAGGGGACTCGGTATACAGGACGATATTTTAAAGTGGTGCCAAAAGTGGGCGGGGATGTGGCGTCCCCTGCGCATTTTTTTCGCTGGCGGGGCTAGGCGGGGCTATCGCGTTGCATGCCCCGCCACAGCCCCCTCCACAGCCCCGCTTAGCCCCCTCATAGCCCCCTCTAGCCCCGCCAATATTGAGGGGGCCAGGCGGGGCTAGGCGGGGCTGGTGCTGGCAGGGGTTAAAATCGCGCAATCCCTGAAACCGAGGGGCACATGTATTCCCAGACTATATGGATCTCCAAAAATGTACAAAAAGGACATACCTCTACGACCAATTCTGTCTAAGTCTAGTTCACCCCACCACAGATTAGCTAGCGGCTTGTCAAGGAATAAGAGCCAATACGACACCTATTTTCGACTTACACAATAAAAGACAGTTTCCATTTTATTGAAGAAATAGGGCATCAGAACATTTCCAACAAAAGCATGATATCTTTGGACGTTGTATCATTATTCACAAATGTACCACTTGATGAGACAATCAATGTCTCATGCGTACCTGCGTCTGAAACCTGTCTTTCACCCGAAATATTACGTGACCTGTTGAAACTTTGCACGAAAAACGTTCAATTTCTGTTCAATGGACAGCTATACAGACGGATTGATGGAGTGTCAATGGGAATTCCACTTGGTCCAACCCTTGCTGACATTTTTATGGGTTACTTGGGAGAAAAGTTGTCACCCAAATTAAATATGAAAAGACTGTACAATAGATATGTGGACGACACTTTTGTGTGTATGTGTATTTTAGGGTAATAGGCAATGCCCTTGATGACCCTATTGAAAACGGTACATAAACTATAAATGTTAAATGTACGTCTTACTAAAATTTTTCAGTAACATATTTGTTCACGGAAAACTTTCACAATGCGGGACTGCAAAGGGTGCGGCAGGCGGTCTTCTCAGTGTACATAGGAAATTTTAAGTGCAGTTATATACAATCAGCATAAAATGCAGTCAGTGGCATAGTTTGAGAGGGGGCATCTCATTAAGAGTCACGGATGTGTTAAGTAGGGATGAAATCAAGAAATGAAATTTATGGCTGGCCGCAGATAGTCCTGTTGTGAAAGTCGTCGTTTATCAAATATCAAACGATCCAGCTGCCTTTTGTATACAGCGATTGTATCAGATGTCACTATTTCACTTGGGAGTGAGTTCCATTGTCGAACAACACGCTGGCTGAAGGAAAACTTTCGATTGTCTAGGCGTATACGCTCCCGCTTGACTTTGTAAGGGTGACCGCGCAGGTGACTCGTGGACGTGAATTCAAAGAAGTCGTCAGTTTTGAGCGAACATTCATGCCCGTGGATAATGCGGAATGTCCATAACAGGTCACACCTCATTCTTCTATAGGATAGGGGGAACAAATTTAACTGGATCAGTCTTTCTGGGTATGACAGAGTCCTGAGACCGTCCACCAGTTTTGTGGCCCGTCGTTGCACCTGCTCTATGGCATCACTGTCTTTCTTCATCCAGGGCATCCATGATGGTATTCCGTATTCCAAGTGCGGTCTGACGAATGTGCCGAATATCTGTGAGAAGAGTTCTGGAGGAAAGATTTTGAAGGCACGCCTAATCCAGTGCATGATGCTGGTTGCCTTTTGGACGACTCTTTTGCAGTGCTGAGAGGGCAGCAAGTTTGAGCATGTCCAGACACCTAGGTCTTCGTGCGTGTCCACTTCATTTAGTCGAACCCCATTTATGGTGTACTGATGTTTTGGGTAGCGCCTCCGTCCAGATTCTAGTCGCAAGACTACACACTTGGATACGTTAAACGCTAGAAGCCACTTGCTGGACCATGCAGCCAGCTTATTAACATCTTCCTGTAGCTTTTGCGCATCTTCAACGCAGCTGATTGTTTTCCAGATCTTTATATCATCCGCAAACATGATGCCATCGCATTCAAGGTCTGCAGGACAGTCATTTATATAGATGAGGAAGAGGAGAGGACCCAAGTCTGAGCCCTGCGGAACGCCGCTTTTTACTGGCACCCATTCGGATGTAGTGGTACCAACGATGACTTTTGGAGCCTGCATGACAGGAAACTTTTAATCCAATTAAAAATGCTGCCCTGTATTCCACAGTCCCAAATCTTCTGTAGGAGTCGACCATGAGGAACGCTATCAAACGCCTTCTTAAAGTCAAAGAAGATGACGTCCACGGGACGGCCCTGGTCTATGGCTCTTGTCCAATTTTCCTGAGAGTAGAGACTGCTTGTAAGACAGGAGTGACCACGACGAAATCCGTGCTGAGCAGCACATAACAGGTCCCCCTGCTCCAGATACGACATTAAATGCCCTTTAATAAGTCGTTACATTACCTTGCATAGAATGCAGGTTAAACTAATAGGACGGTAGTTTTCGGGTTCCAGTCTGGATCCTCCTTTATAGATTGGAGAAATATGGGCCGTTTTCCACTCCTCCGGCAGTTCGCCTTCTTCCATGGACTTCCGAAATATCATGGACACCGGCTCACAGAGTACATCAGCTAATTCTCGGAGGGATATTGTCGTTGGTCTACATATGGCATGGTAGGAGGGTTTGTGTCATGAGCGAATACCGACTGAAAGAAATTGGAGAAGGCTGATGCTTTCAGGTGGTCATCCGTCTCAATTACTCCGTTTTGGGATCTTAGCGCTGGAATCGGTTCACGATTGCTCTGTCCCTTACGTATGTAACTATAGAGGATTTTAGGATGCTCCAAGGAATTTTGTAATATGTACAGCTCATAGTTGCTTCGAAGTCTATGAGCCTCGCGTTTACACGCATTCCGCTGTCGCTTGTATTCCGTCAGGTCTTCAGGACTTTCTGTTTATCGATAGCGTCTCCACACTTTATTTCTCCTCTTAAACGCGGTTTGAAGTTTCCGGTTTATCCACGGCGGACGGTTGCTAGTTTTCTTTCGTCTGAGTGGACAGTTCGGATCAACGATTCTTTGACCAGTGAGCTGAACGTGCTCCAATAGTCATTAACTGTTCCTTGCAACGTGGTTGTCCACGGTATTGCTGAGGCTTGCGTTCGCATGCTAGAAAAATCCCCCTTCTAGATATTTGCCTGTAATTTTTCAGGTGAATTAGGCTGTTATTGTTGATAACAAAGAGGAAGCCGAAGACCTATTTGTTGCCATGAATAGTCTCCATCCTAAGATTAAATTCACAACGGAGAAGGATCAGTGTAACAAGCTATCTTTTCGGGATGTCCACATAACTAAACAGGAAGATGGTTCAATAAGGCGATCGGTTTTCAACAAGGATACATGCAAGGGCCAATACCTACAATTCTTGAACTTTGTGCTGATAAAACGAAAACGAAATTCGGTTTACACTCTATTTCAAAGAGCAAGAAACATTTGCTCTATTGAAACACTTGATGCTGAAATTCATTGCCTCGAAACAGTCCTGCTTTAACAGGCATATCCGACACGATTCACCGAAAAGTACAGCAACACTTTACGGCCAAAATTGACGGAGCCATCAGTTCCGAAAAAGCCCGATGTAATATCCTTACCCTTTAAGGGCGACAACATCTCAAATACTATTAAGCGGCGATTGAGAAGCGCCATTGAAAGAACATACGTCTCAGCTGAACTCATATTCTGCAGCCCTACTAAGGCTATCCAAGTTCCACGGGCGAAGGATGCCTTAGCATTGCACGCCACGTCAAATTGTGCTTACGAATCTAAATGCAATTGTGGATGCAAGTACATTGGGCGAACGCAAAGGCAACTGGCAGCCAGGTCAGTTGAGTACCTGCGTAAATGGCTTCTAAAGCCGGAGAAGAAGATTCAATGGTCTTCTATTACGAAACACCCCCTTGATAGCGGTCATTCGGTTGACCCCAAAACATCTTTTCGAGTATTAGTTCGAGCACGAACAACTTGGTTACTGCGCTACTTGGAGGCAGCCTACATACTGAGGGAGAAACCCGACCTGTGTAAACAGTTAGACCACGTGGCCAACTTCAGCTTGCCCTGGTAGGTCTGAGTCCTTTTGATTTGCGAAATCCCTCGGCGTGTTAACTTCCCCGTTTTCTTTCCTATGTTGCGTTTTCAAGTTACCACTTTATTGATTAATCTACCTGAAGTATACGACGACCTTGCTGTTTTATATTGATTTTCTCTGTGGAAGTCAAAACCTCTGTATCTTTCTCACTTGTTATCTGTGTTATGTAAAGACAGGCTGCAGTTGATAAGCCGTCTCTAAATTTACTGGTTCCAATAAATTCTGTTGTCTATGCTTACTTTAAAATCCTTACATTGCTAAAACTAACGTGATTTTGAATTAATGCTACTGATGACATCCTCCTTTGCTCTTTCGCTATCTCGTCGTCTCCATCTACGAAATGACATTAAAGTTACCTTGATTCGCCATTTGCTTGAGCAAACTGAGGGGCGTTCGACGAGTTCGATTTCGCTGCAAACCATTCGTTAGATATCGCATGACTTTTTCCCGTACAGTAAAAGTTCATGGAAAAACAGAATATCCCATTTTTCGGGACACCCGGAAAAACCCCAAAGCAGATGGCAAGACGAGCGTCAGTAGTTCAGATGCTTTTCTTTCGCACTCTGACCGCATTAGGAATAGTAACCACCCTCGGTGCAGAAGACACCGCGAGAATTTCTTATTTTTTCCTTTGACACAAATAGTTTGATATCATTAGTTCCTCTCCGCTAATGTACTTGCAAAACTATCCTTTGGTTAAAGGAACTATCGTTCTTTTTGCACGTTGTGGGTGTCAAGTCCATGCAGTTTGTGTCCTTTATCATTTTTTGGTCTCATTCGAAGGAGAAGCTACTGACTCTGCAGTTCCACCCTTTAGGCGATGGCGAGCAAGTATTCATTCATGCAGTACCTTTTTGATACAGAATCTCTACCCTGTGAGGCCTGCAAAATCTTTTGATCCTCGCGGCCAACGATTCCTCTCTTGGGACACGGTCATTTATCGGGTCCCCTTTTTACTATTATTTAAAACGCAACTATAGCGCCCCGCCGTGTCAGTTCTCGTGACCGCGCCTATTCTCATTATTACAATAATCCTCTGTCCTTGTTACACACACACACACACACTGCCGGGGGCTACGAGATCATGACCTTCGAGTTGGTGAAACATACATACACTCAGCCCCCGAGCGTAGTCAATACGCTCATGAAGATTACTCTCGCACGTGCCACTTAATCATACGCGCTCATGTCACCTCGCGGAGACGCGTACCGTGCGCTACCGACTCTGGTCTCGAGTGCAATCGGAAGTCTGTGCAGAATGCAGGCTCCCGATTGCTCCTGCGTCTACTAACCAGGACTTCGCCCGATGGATGGGGAAGCTAGGGTAAACTCAATATCCTAGTTGCTGTAATACCCTCCTTATTCATGGCATTATTCTGAGCGTTTTTAATGCACCACAGCGGTTAGAGGTATGCTTACTTCAAATTTTTAAAATTTGTAAGATGCCCAGTACAACATAACTTTGTCCTGGAAGAGGATTCATCAATTTACAATGAATAAAGTTGGTTGAATACCGTTGGCATAGGACGTGGAAACTCAAAGAAATATGTCTGCCAAAAACACCGTAAAACTGTGATGACATCTAGCGCCTACATTGATAGTTTCCTGTGCTTAAATCTGTCATAACGACACGACACCACTGACAACAAAATTACTGGGGTCAATAGTTCTAGAGCTGTCTTATTACGCAATCACTTACAAAGCCAGTCCTAAAGCTTACTTCAGAAACGTCATTTTCCAGCAAATACTGAAACCTTTCAAGGCAATAGACAGGAAGAAGTCGTTTGGTTTTTCAAAAAAGGACTCGTTTGCCGACATATTGTTCTTGAGCACCGTCCAACAGCAATTTTACTAAACAAATATACACAAAATTTCACAACAAATGATTCAATTATCATCCGTGAAAAACAACGAGACGAAAATGCAGTCTCGAAATATCAAAACAATCATTTCAAACAGAATAGATTTAACACGATCTTTCGAAGAGATTGCACGTCCGCACAAGAAATCAGTCTTCAGAACTTTCTAAAAATAAAGCGCGATCAAACAAAAAGCTTAGATTAAGAGGGACACAACCGTAACTTAATGCTTTAAATTGCCACCTTATATTATCTAGATTGCTCAAATAGGTCAAAATACACAAGTATTTCCGAACTGGGATTCTTTATAATGTGCAGTAGGCAGATCCTGCTTTCACTTCTTTGTAGATACGGTAAGGACTTCCTAACGGGAAACCCTTACATGAAAGTGGAAAGTCGTCAAAGGTCCTAGTAGACAAACAAAAGGTAGTAGTGTAACACGCGTACACATTCTCTACTCAGATCGCGTACAGTTGCCGAAACAGTCTTCAAGACGCATGAACAGTATCAAAGTTGCTAACGAGAGGCATGCCCAATCAGGAGGAAAATCGGCAAACGTATTTCAGGGAAATTCGCACTTTCAGTTTGAGGAGTGAAAAATCAATCTGATAAAATAACTTTGCTGTAGGGCTTTCAGAAAAACCTGTCTGTCTCGGAAAAGATGACGAAATTCTGCATCTGCACGCTGTAGAATGTGAAAATAACTTTTATTCACCGAAAGCCATCTGCAGTCCGTGTTTTAGCAAAACTTCGACGCTATGCTAATTCTCGTTTTGTTTAATATTTGTGAAGTTTAACTCAGAATCTTATTGACACGCTAAGTATTTCACGCGAATTAACCTCCTTTCGAAGTTCAGTTTTTCGGATTTTAATAAATCATGAAATCATTTTCAAGAATTAACTCATGAAGGATATGTTAAGTTCAAACGATCACGATGGAAAACCTAAAAGGACTTATAATATAGTAGAAGGCCTTCCCTTGAGATTACATAATTTTCAATGAAAAATATGCCCGTGCCTACCCAATTATTCAAGGCAAAGTAGAAGCCGTGAGGAAAGTTTGCAGAAATTCTGAACCCTACGACTTCATGTCATCATACAAAATTTGTCTTGGCAAGTCACTGACAGCTCCTGTTTGGCGGGCAACAATGGCGGAATTCTCCGATACTGCCCTTGAGGTCCCCAGCAAAGTACGAAATGGGAATCCTTCTCTATTTTGGTAGCCTTGCGTTAATTTCCAGGGAGATCGGCGTCAAGGTTAGTGCTATGGTTGTAGTTGGGATGCAAGAACGCTACTTTTCCTAGAATTTTGCGCAAGGTCAACTCTAAAACCGCGGTGAGGGCTTCTCATCCCCGTGACTCACCAGCTTCCCTCTTGGGACGAATAAATTCCAAAGGTATCAGCACTGAAATGGAAAATTCCAACTTACGCGCCATCACTCAGCGATATCTCAAACTACAGACGAATAGCAGGTAACGTGACTTGTAGAACATTAAATGAAATCCCGAAATTCAATGTCGGTTAGAAGGGATTCTACAGCGTGGGCTGTAGTTCTGATGGGCATGGGCAGAACAGTACTAGAGTACTTTATTGACGTCAGGGCGTCGGCATTTGGATGCGCATGCACTTTTAGCCAAAAAGCACACATTACAACATGACTTTTAAGTAGTTCGCACTTGCTACATTTATCCTTTCTGTCCTCATATATCCAAACACACTTTACGGAAGACATACACAAAAGCATTCTTTCCTGTTTCTATCTTGTAGTAGATTACGCCCTGTTCAGACGGTGTCATCCAGTTTTATAACTAGAGGATTGTGGGAGCTTATAACCTTTATTAGAGTAGCATCATATCTTCCCTTTTCTTTAAGCTCCTTTTGAAGTATCCAGCGTGGTCCGTAGCCACTGAAAGATTTTAAGAATTCTAGATTGTACCTTTATTGCATAGGCTAGTGCATGAAGCTCCTCAAATAGAAAGGATACAGCGTGTAGTTCGTAGATCCTAAAAGCAAGTCCAACGACACGCAGGGCGCGAAATTGTGCGGTACTTGAAAAACAAAGTAATGCTTTCTGACTGAAGGTGCATTTCAGCACTCCAGTTAGGGATTCAGAAGTTGCATCACCTACTTTTTGTCTGAGGTTCTGGGCTGCGTCCGTGGGCCACCATGCAACTTCATAAACCTACGCCACAGGGCTCAACCCCTGTTGGGTCGGAGTGACGCACGCCGACTGAGGCTGACCATAGGAAGAATGTGGGTCTCGTAAGTCCTAGTGCACCCTCCAAGTTGGTGTACTGCTGGGTGACCAAATGACTCAGGTTCATGTCTGAAGGTCCAACATACCGGTTGGTATATCAAAGACTAAGGACAACAACCGAACCGGGATTATCCATCTAGAAGTTGGTTAAATTTTTTGGCAGTACATCTCAGATAAGGCCTGCTAGTCGCTGTGCGACCGCCTATGAAAATTTCATGGCAAAACAGAAATATTCGCATCTCTCCTGTAATCGTAATAAGCAGAGAAACGGCGCTTTCCTACGAAACAAAGTTGTGCATAAATACGGTGGACACTGAGAGTAAGCAACCAAACGTCAGGAAGGTGGGCAAGGCGACGAAAGAGTGAATTATCCAAAGAACAGGAACGACAAACCAACGAGTGAGGAAGCGTAACCTTGGGAATAACAATGACGCGCTTACCCAAGGATTCACTATGCACAAGGGCCTTGTAGAGATTCTGTCACGCGCACTTTCGCGGTTCTGAAAATTAAGTTAAGAAATCTTCCACAAATTAGAGTAAACGGCATTCCTGGCCGGCAAGCTTTTAATGAATGAAATTACGAACAAAAGCTGTCTTTCAAAGGAGGTTTTTATGTTTCAAAACCTACTTACGACATTAGACCGTTAGGGGAACCATTCGTACAGGCAAACTTCATTAAGATACGCTGAACGGAAGTCGGTTTCCACTAGATTTCTCTATGAACTTCGCAGAAAGAGACATGCAGCGGGGTGTAGACCCCATCTCATCCCGTAGCTCTAAGTGCGGACTGACCAGTAAACAGAAAATACGGTGGTCAGCAACCAGTCGGCGCTAATGTGGAGTACAATGAGTCCTACATGAGCGTCACCATCCACGTCAACATCCACGCCATGTTGGGACAAAACTAAATACGGTGGAGCGTCGTGAGGACGAAGGGCGCCTACCCATACGGTTATTCTATAACCCACGCAGCAACGAGCAATCGCCGACATTGAGGACAGGAGCGACGTTAGAAGAACATTGAAAATTAACCTCAAGAATCACCATATCAGACGGGAGACCTAGAAAGACCTCGGACGGGACAGACCGGGTTGCGGAGGAACAGTGAAGACTGGGAGAGAAATCTACGAAGTCAACCAGACCGTCTCTGTCAAAGCCAAAAGAACGGCTGGTGAGTATCAGGAGCCTCTGACCCACAATGCCAACCATTAACGCCCTTTAAAGTGCTCACATTCTCAATACACATTCCATGTACGAATCGGCCCTGTCGGACATCTTCGGAATCAATGCGACAACCCGATAACTCCACAAGCTGCTTCCGCCATTGCCCTCGACGTCACCTCTAAACCAATCCCACAACGGCGAACACCACCACAACTAATAATCATCCTCACGGTTCTCCGACTCCTCACCCGATGGCATCGACCCCAATCACGATCATCCCTGTCAAAACTCCCGCCCCGACGAAAACGATAACGTCTACCACCGCTCCCATACCCACCACCGGTGAGGACACTCCCGACACCTCGTCAACCTCCAATCCCGCCAACAGCAACAAAGCGGACTCAATCCCGACCTGTCCCCGCTGAGATCGCAGCTTCATATGCCCAAATCTGTTTGGTCAGTCGCTTGCGAGTCCATTGCACTGAGACTGTTGAACCAGTGTCTGAAGCATCAATATACATCCGCCGGCCTCGCTTCCGGTCTGTACAGTCCATGCGTATTTAGTCACCAAGTGGACCTACTCGACCATATATGCATCAATGGAAACTTGTAGTCACTTTTCTTAGCTTTAACAATTTCTATTTGTATAAAATAATTGCAAAATACGAAGCCTCGCATGACATCGAACACGTCCGGAGAAGAGATCCACAATAATGTCTACATAGACATTCATGCAACACCTGGTTGTCGGGGCGACTTTGCAAGGACAATAGAATAAGCCGTTGAAACACGCAGAGCAAGCCAAAGCTAAGGCCTAAATAGTACACGGAAAACAGCAACCTAACTGCGTCTACTTAAATAAACGCAGTAGCGCGTATTGTATGCTATTAGGTCTACCCGTGGTGCAAGCCATACTCTTACCCTGTGGTTAAACATCGCCGATAAAACCCCATCAACGCACGTCATCTCACCAACACATACACCACATACGAACCTGTTCCGCATCATCCACCGGAGGGACGAATTCGGCAAAAGCGTGTTCTTTGACTGCTTTCGCTGTGACCTCAATGACAGTCTGACCGTCTGTGAGCTCTGACCATCTCACACCCTTAGTGTGGAAGCCATTTTGTTGCGCTGGAGGGCCATGTAATGTCGTACCCACAGGAATCCCCATTTTCATGAAAATTCATACACTATCTCTTCAGACCAATTCATGTTCCTCTGAAGCTGGCGAACGGACCTATGACATCAAGCCAATATGCACATCAAGTACCAAGCCGCGAAACCTGATGTTGCAGTGATTTCTCCCTAGGAGGAATGACAGATAGCTGCATAAACTAGAGGGATAATACTACGCTGCAGAAGGCGGAGAAAGAGTGACGTCAATACAAACTCCAACGACAATCACCCGCAACGAAACTACGCCAACGGACCTACGACAGCAAGCCAATACGCACTTCAAATATCATGCTTGCTTTTGTGTTATTTCAGAGTTAAATTGACCATTTCTACCTGAGAAGAGAAATCACAGCCGGCTGCATAAAGTAGAGAGGTAATACAACGTTTGAGAAGAGAATGAGACAGAGAGAGAGGGAGAGAGAGAAAAAGTGGGTGTGAAAGGCTGCATACTGAAGTTGACAAGGCGTCAGAAGTTCTCACACAGGTATTATTGTACTCGGCTATCGAACTGTCACACAAATAGATAGGACAAATGATTGTTTAAGTAGCAAAAACAATAAGCAAGTAATACGCGAATTGAGGAGAAATGCAAACATCGAGTTAATTACAAGGCCTGAAGAGAAGTCAAGTAAGAGGGAGGAGTAATTTCATAAATGAGGCAAACGCGAAAGCAAAAAACGGAAATCCTCAAACAAAGGAAAAGCAAAATCAGTTACCGAAAGAACCTCCGCACCTAAGCATCTTGTAATATTATGGAGAAAATGTCTTCCCCCAAAACATTTACCATGCAGAAAAAATAACCAAACATATAATGAGGACAAAACGGCCGCATAAATACCAATGCGACAGCATCGATGTTACCGCCTTCAGCATATCGATTACATGCGGCAAATCCACCGGCTGCTCTCCATCAACTTCGGGTCCACTTATACTACGAAGGCATCCACTATGACGGTTTTCTTCTAATTACCATAATAACGCATCTGGTTATCAGGTAACATCTCTTTAAACGTTAGGTTTGATTTCGCTTATGCGACGATTAACATGTAAAACTGACATCCTCATAGCTTTCGGCCCTGATTTGCATGGGCAAAGAAGCAAGTCGCTCCCATTAAGCAGCCTTTAAAGTCACACGGTAAATTGAAGCTGATCAGTCGGTTTAAACTATTATAGTCTTACCTTGAAAGGGCATGAGTATCTGGGTAGAGGTTCATCAGTCACAGTCTGTAATATTCAAAAAACAGCTAACAAGCAGCCAGTAATATGTGCATCGGTAACGTGATGTAACACATTGACAAACACCGCAAGCACCTGTCACGGACGAGAACGTTCCTGACACCCTCCTCCTCCACCACCACCACCATCACCAGTTTCTGTTAATGGTGCTTATAAATGGATAAAAAGTTCACGGTAGATGCGAACACTCAAGAGAAGACCCCTCGTCATCCCGGGAAGTAGACTACAAATTAACTTTCAAGTTAAGTTATTATCAATAGGAAAAAAGGACAACAGCTAGTTCAATAATTACCCTCATCAAATCCATCAACAGGCTACATGCAGACACAGCAAGAACATGATTCGTAAGTTATCAGACGAAATGCCTTCCACAAACAAACAAATTTGTTGTCCTCAGCAAATAATCAAAAATACGGCAAACAATATTAGTGCGACACGAAAAACAAACACCAACGGCAGGCAAGAAACACATACTTTCATGGACGCATTCGACATGCCTCTTCAGGGTAGACTTCCGTCCAAAGTCCACTCCGCAGAACTCACACGTATACTTCCGCTGCTCTGCAAGACAAAGAAAATCGCACTAGTAAGAGACTGGACAATAGTCCTCTCCATTCAATTCACAACATCATAAAGTAAATTGGTGCCTTACAGGAAATGACGGAAATGCAAACATTCAAACTCTTTCGGCTGAAACAGGGTAGATGGCGATAGACGGAAAGACAGGCGTCTTACCCTCCTTAACCTACACAATGTGTGTGGCAAGTCCAATGGCTGCTCTCCCTCGACTTCCCGTTCTCTAATACGATGGAGGCCACCTCCGCCACAGCCTACGCCCAATTATGTCCTGAAACCATCTCAATAACTGAACAAATCTGCTCGAAATCCCCCCTTCTCGAATGTACCACATAAACTTACTGATTAGCGCCAAATAACACATCCTATGGACGCCACTGCTCTTATGCACCTACATTAGAGCTGTAAGGCTTCTGTCAATGCACAGCACTGAAGAAACCTGCCTTCGAAAGTAACTCACAATCTGTGCATGCAACAACTTGCATTAGCTGTAATCAACAGCCCCTTTGCGCTCAGTCCACGGGAATTGTCACACCAATGGAATAACTTGGACTAATTTCTTCAACGTTCCTCTTCGTCCTTAGACGTCCTAGCCAATCGATATCTCGATTGGTACGCCGAGCGACCTAAACTGTGTTGCGCGATGACTAGCTTCTCCTGACAGGAGGTATAGTCATGCGCTAGCTCCTTCTTGGTGTAGCTTTTATGGCTTTCCCACGTGGCCGGCATCCGTGGAGCCTCTCCCCTTTCTTATTGTGTAAAAATCTGGCCCATAGAACACGAACCAGGTGTGTGCAGCACACATAAATGACCTATATAATTTTGTCGGTCACTGAGCCCGATCCACCTACGGTCTTCTTGATATTTTGTTATCTTGATCACAACTTCAGGCGTTTAATGCAAAAGAGAGTG